CTATTATGAACAGGAACGGTGCTAGCACGCCACCTTGTACGACGCCTGTAGGAAAGCATAACAAAAACATTCGGAAGTTTATTTTCTGTGTTTGTAATAATAATGCGCCTCAGTCGTTTGTCATGGCGCTTTATAAAATGACATTATTATTATTATTAATAACTCAGTTCCATCAAATATTTTGGTTTTCTACGATTAATTCAATTATTCTCCCACCAGAAATTTCTAGATCCGCCACTGCATACAAACACATTCATTCATGCACGTTCGTATAGTTTACACGCATTCCTACCTATTGATAATAATAAGAAAAAAGTTAAGTAAACAAAGGGCGGCACTATTTTTCAAGCCTTGAGTGCCAAATTCTTAAATTCGCCTCTATGTATAGCACAAATATTTACGGAAATTGTGTATGAATATATATATATGAATTGAATAGGTAAGAATTGATATAAACTGTACGAACGTGCATGAATGAATGTGTTTGTATGCAGTGGCGGATCTAAAAACTTATCGTGGGGGATAATTGACATTATTCACAGAAAACCAAAATATTTTATAGAGCCGAGTTATTAATTATGCGGATTTAAGTATTTGGCGCTCTAGACTTGAAAATTTTTGCCGCCCCTCGTTTACTTAACTTTTTACTATCATTATCAAACAATATTTAGTACATCTAGAAGCAAAATAAAGTTATTTTTATCTTGAATGATGAATTATGTTTTAAAAAATTTTCACGTTCTCATAGTGCACTGAGTAAAATAATATCTGTGCAAACTATCCAGTCAAAAAATGAAACCGACATAAATAATTTTAAAGTTTATAGTAAAAAAATAGTGGTACAAAATGAAACACTTTTCTTTCAAATTATTTGATCAATAGAATGTTGGTAATACAAAGTTCAAGTCTTCTATTCAATAATAGGTCACATTTAGAATTTCATCATTTTTCGCTTTACTTTCATTTCTGAAAATCTTTGAATTATTTTGTCAAAAAATATATTACAAGAGTTAACGATTTAAAATCAGAAGCAATGTCATTACCAAACGTTATGTTGGATTTTTCTGCCAGTTACCAGTGGTGAGCTTAGTACTCTATTGTTCTTGATATATGTTACCACTGTCAGCGATAATACGCTGTTATTTGCTGATGATGCCAAAATTTATAAAGTTATTAATAGTAGATTAGACAGAGATATTCTGCAGTCTAGCCTCAATGATACTCTTGGATGGTTTGAAAAATAGAGAATGAAAGTAAATGTTGATGAATGCCATCTTTTGACAGCCAGGAATACCGATGGTTGCATTTGTTAACTGATGCCCACGGGGCAAATCATTCAATCATCAATCTAGAATCAATTTCAGACTTGGGTTTAATTGTCGATTCTAGACTAAAATTCAAAACTCATATATTGATGAAAATAAAAAAGCAAATTCAATGCTTGGAATCATAGCTAGAAATTTTAGTAACCTAACGGATTTCTTAGTCTGTATAAAACGTTGGTACTCATACAACTGGAGTTCAGTGTGCAGATGTGGAGTCCGTACAGATTGGGTTTGATAAAAAAAACCGAGAACGTTCAAAGAGGAGCAACAAAATAAATAAAGTTTTGTCAATGTCTTGATTACAGAGAAAAGTTAAAAAAATTAAACCTGACCTCACTACCATTTGATTTTGGTTTACCAAATGCTCCATAGTCTAATAGATATGGATGTTTGCCCACTATTGTTTAGAAATAATGTTGGTTTCACTAGAGGACATAATATAAAACTAAGGGTAAATATTGCACGAGTGGACTGTAGAAAATTATCTTTTCACTAACAGGGTAGTTCAGTCATGGAATGATTTGCCAGGTGAAGTGGTGAATGCATAAAATGTTATATACGTAAAATCTTGGAGCCTACGAAAAAAATTAAATTTTTTCATCATTTTTTTCATTGGGTGATTAAAAATAGAGAAAAAAAGACAAAAACCAAAATTCAAAATCAATAACTTTTATAATTAGAAATAGAAGTAGTAAACTGAATTATATAAACTTTGCGGCTCTTTGCATGAGCAAAATCACAAATAACATCTTCATATGACATATCCCGCATTAAATCGTTTCTAATTGATAGAAGTGCGTTCCAGTTTCACCGTTGAGCGCAGATAATTTGTATAAGTTTCAGTTTTGAAAAAAATCGCTCACCTTTACAACTTGCTCCAAAAATTGACAGATAAATTCGAAAAGCAATATTTACATTTGGAAAACTTGTAACCAACTTGTTCTCTATTTAAACCTTCAACATTTCGGCAACAGATTTTGTGTCGACAAACATTCTGGAAAACAAAAGAAATTAATCAGAAAATACCTCTTCCAAATCTGATAAATTTGTCTTAATTCATTTCTCTTAATTAATTTGCCTTAGAAGCTATTTCACCACTTGACGAAGTTCTGTCAAGAAAAAACTGAATCTGTAAGTAATCCTGCTTAAGCTGCTCGCCGTTTTTCTATCTCAATTATACGTCTGTCTATGATCACATAGAAAGACCGGATACGGAAATTGTCACTTGCATTCAAATTTGACTCGTATCAATATTATTCTCCTCGTCTTCGTCATGAAATCTTTTTCGCACATGTTTGCCTTTGTACATTCTTTGTAATCGGATTTTGTAAGACTTTTGCCATACTTTCAAACGCTTTGAAATTATTACGTGTTTCATGAAAATGTTTTGTGAAATTGTCATACAATTTGATAATAGTGCACAAATCTATGCCAGACTGCTGCAAAAGCTTTATTGGCTATATCAATTTGATGAAGTAAATCTTTCCAAATCACACACATTAGCGCAGTCTCATAATGGTCTAAATTTTTATTAACAATTTTGCTTCATGGACAGCTGCTAGTGGTTGGCATACACCTTTAATAATATCAGACAATGCTAGGCGAATCTCCAAACAGTTGGCATAAAAAGATTTTGTAGCATCACTACGTGCTGACCATCTTGTTTCTGATAGACTTTGTAGAACTGAAGCGTTTGCTTTATCCTTAATTTGTTCTTAAAATTTTAACCACCTATGGAGTGAAACAAAAAAGAAAGTGTACACTGACTGAACAATGCCAAAATAGTTAACTGCTGCTGAACAACATTCCACCGCAGATGAACCAACCAAATTTAAGCTGTGGGTAGCGCATGGTATCCACTCGGCTAAACTATTGATCTCTCTAAACCTAGCTTGTGCTCCAAAATAAATTTCATTCATATTGATGGCATTATCGTACGATTGTGACTTGCAACAACATGAAGTTTCAGAATATTCACTACAAGATCAAACAAGTATATATATATATATATATATATATATATATATATATATATATATATATATGAGCATCTGGGCACATACACAACACATCAATTTAAACACAGAAGATTTTCATCTATGATTGAATTTCTGACAGTCTTAATCCAATATAAATATATATATTTTGAGTTATATTTTGAATACATATTAAGAACCATAAATTAAAATATAGTGGTTGTATCCGATAACTTTCTAACGGACTCTTCACAGTCTTCTTATATCTTTTTCGTTAAAAGTTTTTTATTTAAACATATCAGAAAATGGAAAAAAACACGTTTAGGAGATTCAAATATAAAATTCCAGGTATAATACATATTATACTGCTATGAAAATAATTTGGTTGGTGTTCGCGGTAAGCATAGAAACGGGAATTACGGATTTTTCATGGAAATTGGTGAAACAATATTGTCGGGAGCAGGAATTTTAAGGAATATATTATCACCTATCAGTAACGGTATGAACGGTAATGAAAAAAGCGATACGTGCCAAATTTTAATAAAAACAAATTTTCAACAAACGACTCTTATATTTTATGCAGCGTTGCAAATGTAACACAAATTATTTACATGCACAATTGTACACGTTTACAAATTAAAGCTTCATGGTGTTCATGCAGGAATATCGTCAATGTGATTATGATGTTATTAAGATGTGGTTATATTATTTTACTAAGGTATCTTAAAATGTATTACCAACAGATTAAGTACGGTTCTGTCGGACCGTCGCAACTTTCGATACCAAATTCAAATACCAGGTTCATGCACTCAGAATTTTTCTTTAAATTTAATTTGAAAAACTCAAATTAAAAATATATAATTATTAAAATTAGAAAAAAGAAAATGCCATTTGAACAATCTTGATGTTTTGCCTTTTACCAAAACCAAATATTACCTATCTCACAGCCTTAAATTTTTTGTCCTGGGCATGACATAAAATTGCATCCACGATGCCTTGCGTGCTTTTGAGCAAAAGGCTAGGTCCATCGCTTATAACTGGTGGTTGTCGTCAGGATGGGTGTCCGGATGTAAAGTTTCCCAAAAATTTATTCCATGCCATCACAAAAAACAACAGCCCCTAGTCCCCAGCAGGCCTTAAGTGGTCAAGGGGTGCTAAGAATCTCTGGGGAGTATGCAATAGCGGAGGGATGTTGCAGAAAAATTCAGAATGGCCCTCTATGGTACTTAGACTTGAAACGCTCAATGTTGGACCACTGACTGGCTGCAGCATGGAAATCGCAGAAATGCTCGAGCGTAGAAGAATTGACATCTGCTGCCTTTAATCAATCGATCTTCGTTTTGCGTCCAGAGACCCGGTTTCTCGAAGTAGGACGTTGCTGCCTTCAGGAGACCCGATGGAAATCGAATGGTGTCTTTCATATCAATTCAGAAGTCCTGGTCGCAAACAATCGAGCAAGACATGAAAGCTCTAAATTTAAATGAAATGGATACAACTGATCGCCTTATTTGGCGCAAAAAATTAATGGCAAAGAAAACAACGTCCTACCTCAGAAGAACTAGGTCTTTGGACGCTAAACGATGATTGATTGATTGATTTATCTCAAAAAAGTGCGTGACATAGTGATTCACACTCATAGATCTTTTTAACGATTTATTAATTTTTTATGATAATTTTGTTGTTTAGAAAAACGATATAATAAAAATGAGACATGATGTTTTATTAAACGTGAGTATGGTACATTGAGAAATAGCTCGGTACATAAAATTTTTTTATCTAAAAATTAAAAGACAATGCACACCACACACACACGCACACATATATATATAATCCATTTTAAAAAACAAAAAAACTAAAAGACACAGAGGAACAAACAACAAATGCACAAACACACACACACTTATGCAAAAACACACTCACATATGCCCATGTAAATATTGTACAAATAAATAAAACACTGCGTTTTGCGTGCGAACATGGAGTGAGTATATAAACTAAAAAAAGTAAGGTAGAGGTCAGACAGGTGGGGATGATGTGGCACTGATTACGTCAGGACATCCTTGTGCTACAAGAAGTTTGACACAATCTTGTGATCGGGCAGACTGAGCGTAGAACAATGCATAGTGATGCTCATGGTCCATCATAAAAACGTTTGCTCCTGCCTGTACAATAATTTAATAACGACGATAATTAATAAAAAATTTTGAAACGATGGTTAGTATTTTAAATATCTTTTCTAATCAACATTTTTACGTCGCAAATATGTAAACATCACATACGAACCCAGAGCAGAAGTTGTACTTGTACGACATTGGCTAGAGCGGCAGCAATATGCAAAGCTGTTCTTGTGTCAGTTTTGCTGTATGGCGTGTTCACGTGATCCGGTGTACAATAAGCTAAAACCAGTAAGCATTTCAAAACATCTTGTCGCGCTACAGTATCCATCAGTTGCTATAAATAAAATTATAATTCTCTGTAAAAAAAACTGTTTAAATTATTCATAAAATTTAATATTAATTAATGAAACCAAATTTCGAGGCCTACATTTTTTTCTTCTTTATAACGTAGCCCTGTCAAACGCGGAGCTGCTTACATGTTATTCTGTACTTCGAATTAAACTTTCGCGTCATGAAAGCTGTACTATGCACACCACACAACACACATACGCATTATGTACGCTTTATACGCGTACTGTTATAACCGCCGGAATGATCAAATTGCGCTATATTATTTGTTATCCTAATTATTATTATCTTTTGGATTGTAAACCGCTGAGGATTGTAAAAAAGATATAGAATCGATGCTAAAACGGAATATATAAAAACGTGAATAAGTCAGGTTTATAGTAAGGTTTACAGTCAAGTTTCCAGCGGAGAAAGCGAAGTCGTAAATGTGATTTATGTTGTTACTTGGAATAGTTTAACGTTTCTGTTACTGTTGGTATTCAAATAAACGTTCAACAAAGTTTGCGTTTGAACCAGTTGTGTTCATCTATTGAAAATCTTAAACCTATGAAATAACGAACACTTGACGATCGATATAGAGATCTTTGAAGTAATAACATTGGTGTTTGTAGTTACGAGAGTCAAGGGTTACAACAGTATGATGGTCTTTGAGTTTTGAAGACAGCTTTCGAACCACGTCATCGCGGAAAGGTGCGCGAGACATTGCACCTTTACCGACTGGGCAAACTCGGTGACCCTGAATGTAGATGCTGACAGTGTAATCCTAATGGCTCAATAAAGTGTAGTGAGATAAGAAAACAAAATGGAGAAAAACCTTTAGAATTAATGATGAATGACTTAACAGGCGGAATCAAAAATGTTGGTGCACGGTGATTGCTATTTAAAAGCATACCAAAATTGAAAAACCCAGGAGCTCTCGGTAGCCACCGACGTGAGAACCAGAGTGACGGAGTTAGATGAAAAACATCCAACTACGACTCAGCCCATTCAAAAAAATTCGATTTCGACTCCGGGTTCTGACCTCAAGAAAATATTTTCAATTCTGCATCATAATTTTACCTTATTACCACAACTAAATAAAAACACTCTAAAAAAACTTGAAATCAGTCTATGTAATTGTTTTTCTTAGTAAAATTACGGTAATTTTATGTTTTAAAACATAATATGATCATATGATTTTACTAATATTATAGCTTTTATTTTTAGGATTAAAAATTAATGCGCATCGCTACGCTCACTTAACCGCTAAAAAACACGATCTTAGAAAAAACTTTTCAGAGTAAAAAAAAAATTTTTTTTAAATTCATAGCATCAAATTTCAAAACTTTTGAAAACCTTATAGGTTCAATTTAAGTTTTGAAAAATTACATCCAAGGCATGAAAATCAAGAAAATGAATAACACGCAATTTATCGAAAAGACAAATTATCGGATTTTGCTGCTTACAAACTTAAGAATCTATAATCCGTTTGATGCTCGCTATACATCAGTTCAAATATGTTAAAAATCCCAAATTTAAGTTCGTACAAAATAACTTCGATAGCAGAAAATGAAATAAAAAACATTTTTTTCAAACAGCAAATGATTATTGAAAAAAAACTAGACTCCCGTTATAAAGAAAATTATCAATAATGCGATCAAAAAATGCTGATTTGCAACCAACAAATAGAAATGAAGATTTCAAGACCAAGATTTGCTGTTTTCAGTGCCAAAAATATAAAAAGCTCTTCATATTTCGTTTTGATTGTTAAAAGCATAAAAAAAAACAAATTTTTTGTCTATAAAATAACATACATGAATGTTTCTATTTTATAGGCAACTTCTCATAAATACGTATGTATGTTTCAGTCACTATGCATGCTCCTATTTGGATGTATGCGAGTATATGTAGTATACATATATACTGAGGTGACTAAACAAATGCGCATCGATATTGTTTAATTTTGTTAAAATTCGTAGCAACTCACGCAGGGGACAGTTAATAATTAATTTATACGTTTGATTGAAATCGTTTCATGTTTTATAACTGGATGTCAACCTTGTCAAAATTTTATGAGGTAAATTTCTAGTCCAACTGTTAAGGATTATAAAAATGCTTATAAAATTGCTTAAACACCGAAGTTTACGAAAAAAATAGAATAGATAAAAATATCAATGTTTGGTAATAAATATATTACTATTGCTAATGCTAAACCAGAAATTGTGCTTTCATAAAAAAGAACAAAAAGGGGATAAAATCAAATTTCTAAAATTCACCAAATTCTATTGAATTTTATCAGAAAAACATCAACACATTCGGTGTCTAAACTCCAAAAACATTTGTTTACACTGATATTATAGCAACAGTGTTGTTTGTAATATTTTGGACGTTCTGCAGCAACAGCTTGATATAGAAATATTTTCTTGCATCATAAAATAAAGTATAAATGTTTGCTTTGTCTTGAACACAAATTGAAACTGATTTTAACAATTGTTTTGGCCAGGATAGTATGAAATAACTTGTGTTGGTCACAAAAATAAAAAAGTATCGATTAAAAATACTGAACCTGTGTAACAGGAACATCTTGATAGGGTAGTGGTGGTAGAAAAGATTTGCGCTCATATTTTGCTCTTATCCATCGCTCTTTTTCTTCCCTTTGGAAATTTAGATTCGTAATTCAAATTACTCATTGCAAACTTATGTAAGTATCTAGTATATGAATTGAATAATTGTTTGATCTGAAAAATCATTAAAACCTGGGAGATGAAGGGCTAGGCTTGATACGACCTTGAGTGTTGGCTTCAAAGATAGAGTTGGCTGCCGTGTTGCCAATGCTTGTTAAAACTGATACCAACTCAGATCTGTCAACATAACAAACAGCAAGATATAAACTAGAATAAATTTTCAAGGTATTAAAAATCTCTTACAAGTTTTGATACATTAAAATGAATCAAAATTTGTAAGAGTTTTGACACATTAATCGATCATATTGCTCTGCAGACAGCTAGATATGGAAATATTTTCTTGCATCAGAAAAGAAAGTATAAATGTCCTCTTCGTCAAAGCAATTTGGTACAATGGTTAAAAGCGCCCGATCGTGCGTTGCAGTTAACGGGTTTGAATGGAGAAATATTCCTGTCTACAATACGCAGGGCGTGATGTGTTGATTCGTCCGTATTCTCATATTTTGAGTGTATCTTTGATAATTATGAGTAATGTAACGAAAGAGAATAACAAAAACTATATATAAAATTCAAATGTGAAAAATAAACTGGTCAACTTACGGCCAGTCGTCAAGATCAAGTGACCGAACCCTAGATAAATGAGTGCCAAGGTTTCTATGGATACCAGAACATTCAATACATATCAAAATTCCAAGGTTTAAACTAGCCCAATCTGGATCTATCAATAATTAGCATTTTTTAAATTTAATAAATATTTCTGGAAAAAAATTATAAAAATAAAGCCAAAAATACTTGTTGCTCCACAATCAGCACAGGCATAATTACCAGAAGTAGATCTAATGGCTAATGCAACTGCAGAGTCTGTAGATGATAAACTATTCCTATTCTGATTGAGTGCATTAATTTTGTTGTAAATCATTATTTCTAAAATAAAACAACAAATTTTAACAAATGATAAAATGCATAGACATGGAACAGGGTTGTTAACGCTACCACTAGGGCTACTACAAGTAAAAATTAGCACCGCTATCATTATCGCTACTCTGGTTAAAAACCTGCGTCAAAATTGCTACAGACAATGCTATTTTTACGTCAAAGAAAATACGGAAATATTTAAATATTTAAGTTTTTTAAGATTTTACAATATATAGGTATAAATTCAAAAGAGAATTTAAAAAAATAAAAAACACACAAATTATGAATGTTTACATAGTAAAAACCTAGATTAAATTGTTGTAAATAATTATCACCCTCCCAACGACTTGCAACTAATCAGCAATTAAGCAGGTAGTTAAGTTCAATATGTTTGATAGCTGTGTTGTTGATTAGCTGTTGAGGAGTCTAATGTTAGCAAACTACATGCAGCTTAGTTGTGGAACTTCTTTGTACTTCACAATGTTTTACAACTCTTGCACAAATTAAATTAGGTGCTTATAGTGTGCTTCTTGTTATTTAATAAAATTAGGCTGCTTCCATGTGTGACATGAAATACAATGTTTTCAAGTTTTTATGTAAAATATAAATAAAATATCAAAATATAAAAAGAACTCGCTAAAAATTACGCTTACAAAATTTGAATTCTTTTGATTAAAATACGTTGCAGTAGTAAATCGAAGCACACTAAAAACTTAAATCATAGTAAAACGAAAACTTAAATCACAGCACACAACAAACTTAAAAATTCGTGTAGCAATTTGTGTTGAACTTAGCAAACTGCCGTTAGTGATATGAAGTTGCCCTAAATATCGTCAAGTAAACCGCTAACTCTAAAATATCCCATAAGCCATTCAGCTAAACGCATAAGCATCTCTTAGAAATGCTGATCGTTAAATAAATTCAGGTGCAGATAAAAGCGACAATAAAACTTGTACTTACAGTTTTTTTTATATTAAAATTTGAAGCATACTTCAAACTACAATCAATCAATCGATCTTCGTTTAGCGTCCAGAGACCCAGTTTCCCGAGGTAGGACGTTGTTTTCTTTGCCATCAATTTTTTTGCGCTAAATTAGACGATCAGTTGTATCCATTGTATCCATTTAGAGCTTTCATGTCTTGCTCGACACTTCAAACTACACTCGGCAATAACATTAAAAATTAGCGGCAAGGGAGCAGACAGTCAGACCGACGTCGACAGCAAATTTAAAAAAGCTATCTTCCGATCAACAGATATTAACAAAACACAAATCACTCAAGTTGCAAAGCAATAAAGTAAGATCGACAATGAAGCAGTACACAAATATAAAAGTTAAATATTATTTAATCAAAAATTATGTTGCGTATAAATTGTTTTCACGAGAAATATTAAATCGAAAATTACATTCAGCTTTAAAAAGCGACTTCGTACTTCTTTTAAAAATAACATTGCTATCGGTACTTTGCGATTAACCACGATGTTTAAAACAGAGGTAGACTAATTAGCCATTTCAACCAGCCAGAGGAATTGTACTTGGTTGAGATGTGAATCCAAAACAATTCGTTTTATGTTTTAATTTTTAGCAATGAATTTGAAACTAAGATTTTAGAGGTGTTTATGCAAGCCGTATATTGCATTTTTTATTTATTTTTTAACAATCTCTGGGTCCAAACTCGTTTAAAAACTTCGTAGCCACCAAACATTTAACAATATTTCCATCAACGCTTTTGTGAACAAACATTTTCTTGCTTCAATATAAATAAGTTTAAAAATAAATAAATCTCAAATGCTAAAAATCTTTTTATAAAAGGTTATTGTTAGATGTAAACTTGCGGCCCGTCACAAACTATACACTTTTTAATGCTGAAAAAGTGTTGTTTATCTACAACATGAGTGATAAGTGGCTACATCAAAAAACTTGTCAAAACATAATTTTTAGAAAATAAAACCTAATAAATCATTTTTGAAAAATTAGAAATTAATACTCACATTGAATTTGTCGCTGATATTTTGTTGCAAACTAAATAGGATTTGTTGCTCTATCGCCAAAACCCAGTCTTCTCTGTCCTAAAAGGTAAAAAATTTCATACTGTACTGTTTAAATTAGAATAAAATCAAACAAATCAGCTTCAACACTAAAAGATTTTCTATTCTCAAAAAGTATCAGTTTACTCTGACTTATAACATGTGAAATTTCTTTGTGACTTTGCTACCTACCCGTAATAACTCTACTTGGATTCACGTTTATTCAAAGCTCTGTCTTGTACTTTCATTGTATATGCTTATAAGCTTCATTCTAAGCAATCATTTTTGTTCATTGTAAAATATAGATTTTATCAGTGGTGGATCTATACAACTTTGACGGGAGGGGCCAAGATGATGACCGGGAAAATTTTTTAAGCAACGACTTTTATTAACTTTTAACACAAATAATGCTCATAACGAAGGGGCACTAGCACTAACCCTTATAGATCCGCCAATGCAACACCTAATCCCACATATTATTAATTTAACATATAATTGTATTCAATATATACTGTATATATCTTCATTTGTATATAGATACATTTAAAGTATTTTATGAATTCTACCGAATTGTTGGCAATAACCAATTTAAAATTTGTCTTTTCGATTTTCCTTAATAGAAATTTTTCTGGAAATTGTTCAATTTATTGAAACCATCATTGCTGAGTTTATCATTGATACCATTAAAAATAAACTCAATAAATCTCAAAACAACAACCTCAATATTTATAAATATACCTCACAACTTCAATTTCAAATCTAAATTAACAAATCTAATTAAAACGAATGGTAATGGACCAACGGATCGGTTTATTAACCTAAGTAAACATCCTTTCACTGATAAAAACAAAGAAAAATTTTTAAATTTAGGATTAAACTGTCATATTTTAAAGAGGCCGAACAATATTGGAAAAATTCAATAAATTGAACAATTTGAATAATTCGTAATAGCAATAGAAAGTGACGTTGCCAGAACAATTTCTTTTGACGATGTTATAGATTGTTTTGCAGCTAAAAAACTCGACGTCTTCCGATATAACTATTTCTGCGAACTGTTTAATATTGAAATTAATGTTCATCTGTATTTTAAAATAATAAAACTTAGTGTGTATTATGTTCATGTATGTCTACACAGCCTACATCTAATAATATTTCTTGTATATTATTTATTGTTAATGAAGTCATATAGCACCATTTTATTAAATTTTAAAAACGCTAACCACGTAAACATGGTAAACCATTATGATGCAAATATAGCAAAGTATTCTTTTTTAAAAAAAAGAATCAAAATTGCCGAAAAAGGTAATATCACATCAAATCAAATCAAGAAAAAAACAGTTGCAGTGTACTTGCACAGCTTTTTTGAGTTTGGGTTGCTAAAAAATGTAGGTCAATAAATCAGAGGGTTAGTTAAGAGAAGCCTACAAATGCACTTCGGCTAGGGCCCAGAGAGGCCTTAAACCGACACAGCCCGCCACAAGCTACATGTTTTAATTATATATTTATATCATAACGTTTCCATGCGTGTGTTTGAACATAATAGTGTTTATGGCTAACGATTAATTAAATTTGTAATAAATTTCAGTTAATTTAACGAGAATTGAAAAAGATGTAATATAAAAAAGGTTTAACGCTAAGCTTAAGACTAGTGTAAGAAAGTTAACAAAACCATCGTAACAAGTTATAACAAAATGTAGCTGGTGCGCAAATCCAGATTTTTGTTTGTTAATCCAGTAGAACTTCAGTAGGACTTGAAAAAGTCAAATCCGGAAAAGCCCAACCCAATAGATTGATCTAAACATAATTCTGACAATGTTGATTTAATTTTAACTCGATTTAAATTATGTTGAAAACTCAGTTGTTTTATAGCTGAGCAAACACTGCTCCACAATTCACATTACTATAGCCAAAAAATATTCAACATATGGTCTCAAATTAATCACATTAATAGTTTAGAAAAGCCTATAACCAATATGTTATGTAAAAAAACTGTATAGCAATGAAAATACTACACATAAAAAACAGCAATATACTTCAGAAGATTGTGCTTTAAAATGCCATTGCTGATTATCCAGTGAATGTAAGAGAAACTCTAAACCTGTGGTTGTATCTGAGCATGAATGATGTAAAAATCGCATGTTATAAATTGATTTAGTTTTACACAAATTACAATATTACAAATCTCAGACACAAGATTCAAATTGGAACCATTTTTCAATTTTCTCATTAAATGAAAGCCAACCTTTTAAACAGTGATTGAATGAAAATCTTTATTTAATAAATAATCACATTTTACCATATGTTTACCCCATTAAAATTTGTTAAAAGCCATTTCTAATTTCCTACTTAGTGTTCACTATGAAACATCTCCCGGGTGAAGTTGCATCGTTATTTATCATCCCATTTCAAACAGCGCAAAAACAGAAAGAGTCCAGCACAGAGAATCAAAGTTGGTTCCATTTATAAGAAACCTAGCTTAAAAAGATCATCTTACAAAATTAGGATTAACAACCTTGGTGGAAAAAAGAAAAAGAGGAGATTTGATTCAGTTGTTTAAAATCATGCATAATTTGGACAAAGTTGATTTAAATAATCGCTTTAGCATAGTCAAAACCAAAACGCGAGGTCACGGTGTGAAATATTTTAAAGAGTTAACAAGACATAGAGGCAGAGAAAACTACTTATTCAATAGAGTCGCAAATACATGGAACTCATTACCAAATGAACTTGTTGAGGCACAATCAATGAACAAATTTAAAGCAGGTATTGATTGTTGGATGAACAACAATCAATCAACGAATTAGCAGTGCTAGCATGCCTGAAAGCATGCTCTCTGGATAACCTCCAGAACAGCATTTCTACTACTACTAATAATATACAATTCCCCAGAAAATCCAAATTTTTCAGAACATTGAGTTAAGCTAACTTAACCTACCAATTTTTCAACCAATCAAATCATAACTAATTTTAAAAAATTAATTAGACCTGTACTGAGTTTTGGCTCTATTTTTTAAAATCAGTCGGGATCTGGCCAAAAATTTGTGGGATTTTGGTCAGATATTACGATATTCTTAATATATTTAAGACATAACATACACAACAAAAAACAAAAAAATAAAATTAGTGCACAAAGACATGCCTTCGTTGTTGTCTGTGTGTTTATTCCCACCTTTTATTCGCCTCTGCCTTTTTTTTATGTCACCTACTAGGTGAAAATAACAAACGAATTATATCAACCTAAAGCAAAAAAAATGACTGAATATAAAGAATACAATACGAAATTGGGCAGCGCGGTGGTGTAACATTTAACGTGCTTGTAGTTGCCATAGCATTATACATCAATCAATCTTCGTTTTGCGTCCAGAGACCCGGTTTCCCGAGGTAGGACGTTGTTTTCTTTGCTATCAACTTTTTGCGCCAAATTAGACGATCAGTTGTATCCATTTCATTTAAATTTAGAGCTTTCATGTCTTGCTCGATTGTATGCGACCAGGACTTCTTTGGACGGCCTTTGGGACGTGTGCCAGGTACTTCAACATCTGCAAGAAAAGTTATGGCACTGTTTCCACTTCGTTTGACATGACCAAACCACCGCAGACGGTGTTACCGGC